CAAAACCAAAACTTACAAAATAATATAAATATTTGTGCAAACAAACAAAGAAAATCTTAATATTGTTAATTTGCATCGTAACTACATTACCTTTTCGGTTTGACTTTTCTGCGAAGGTTGTGCGATAGCAACTTCTCCATTTCCATGTTGCTTTTGCTGTTTCTTTCGCTGAGACCTGCGAGGCGGCATATTACTGCAGAAAAATAAAGGAATTAGAAATCTAGAGTAACCATCACTAGGCAAGGGACAATGCTACCTTGAGAGTTCACAAACATCTCCAGAAGAAAAGTGGGAAAAGTGAGAGAAATCTAGCAGCCTAGGACCAAAAGTCGGCAAGCATTTCAGAGCTCGGTTGTAAAGTACTCGTTGAACGAATAGATTTGAGAATTTGTTACAATAATACATCGTTTGCCTGTCCGTCCTAACCAACGCCAACCGGTATGGCCAGTTGAAACATTTAGTTTGACGGTGCAAGAGGCTGCAGATCTCTACGAAACATAAACCGTTAGTGGTCGGGTGAGCGACGGTTTTCCCTCTTACCTTCGAATCAAAACTCAGGCGGAAATGTTATCAATAAAACACCTGTTGTGCGGCGCACACAAAGCCAGCCAACACAAGCGAGCAGACTGAGTTGTAAACACGAGTTTGTTGTGGATGTGAGCTGACCGCTGAATTTCTCATACGAGCCGAGCGGCTTACCCGGGCGGCTGGCGTCTGCTCGCTCGCTCTGCAACACAAGTTCATATTTAGTGACATTTTCACTGCTAGTCGTCATTTCTAGCGCATATTAGTGGATATTATGACGCACCGTACCTTCCTTTATGTGGAAAAGTGGCCGCTTTGTCTCACAGGTGAGTAACTTCAATGTTTGAACGAAATCAAAATCGGGGAGTCGTTTCGCGATTCGGCGCACCAGTCAGAAAGGAACAAATTTTAACATAGTTGGCAATCTTTTCATGAAAAACCGTACACAGCGCCAAAAAGCTTGTGAAATTTCACTCAGGATAGGGTACTTTTAATGTTGCGCAAAACATCCGATTATGGTTTAAGTTTGAAATGAAATGTTGAAAGCAAAATGGCGACCGCTCTCGCATTTTGTGTTTTTTATTGATTTCTCGAAGTGTATTAATCAGATGAGCATGCCGCATAGCCTATTCGATAGCTGGATTCATGATGTTTTTTTCGTAGCGAGCTTGTTTGTGGGTTTAATCACTCTAAATAGGTGAAACTTTGTTTTGTTTCCGTCTCGGCGGCACCCCGATCCACCACGGCTTTCGATAAAGAACACATTTTATCGACATTCCAAGGACGAAATTTAAAAAGAAAGGTACCAAAAGAAAGTTCGAAATCTCCCCTTTCCAACGCTACCAAGTTTTGTGTCGATCAGAGTCGGGAAGTACGTTTAAATGTGTTTCTTAAACACGACGACGTTCGGCCGGGCGGCGGCCCGTCGAGTGCTGCCGGGGACGCGCATGGTAGGCGGCCCAGCCCGCTTGATTCTACCCCCTGCATTGTGTCAGCAGCTAATGCAAATTATTCACAAATGGTAACTAAGACACCTCTACGTGTAGTTGTCTCATCAACAGTCATTTGTAAATCAATT